GCCTTACACGTTATGCCACAGTCCATCCCTGGGGGCGGCAGGGTCAGTCCTGGAACTGAAGCAGAGATGGAGAAATGCTGCCTACTGCCTTAATGCCGGTGGCTTGCCTATTATACCACTCAAGACTGCACATGTCCAAGAGTGGCCCTCCCCACCGTTGACAGAACCCTCCCACACCAATCATTAATCATGAAAAAGCCCTACGGAGATTCCCACGGGCCAATCTCATAGACACGATTCCTCAATGTCGGCTCCCCTCTTCACAGGTGTCTCTTGTTTATGTCAAGTTGACAAAAAACAAAAAAAAAACAAAAAAACAGATCACCTTGTATTCGATGAATGAGTCTTCAGAGACAGCACTTAAAATGATTTAAATATGAAATAACTGAATCTGAATTATCACAAACCAGGGAGGAAAATAATGCACCAGAGTATAAGGAAATCAAAACCCCTAGCTGAGCCGCATCTTTCTGTAGTCTAAGAGGCTCCTTTTCCTCTTTGACCTCAGTTAACAACACTCTTGGCTTGCCCTGTTTTGTGGTCTTCCGCTGTCCTCCTCTCAGACATGCTAAGCTTATTCTTGGCTTCAGTTTCACTATTGTTCCTTCTGCTTGGAAGCCCCTTATACCTAAATGCCAGCCTTCTTGGAGATGGCATGTCCTGACAGTGACTGTTAACTATCACCTTCATCCCTACCCCAGGTGCTCAACTAACAATAAGGCCACTCTCCGCTATCACCTTACTTGACGAGTTTATGGTCTTTTTGGCTAGAAGACAAGTTCCCCAAGAATTAAGGCGCTTGCTTGTTTCCTTCTGGTCTCCCAAGCTCTTGGGTTCCAGAAGAACTCTCAGCGCTACCTAGGGGATTACAAATGTGTGTATATGTCTATCTGCATGCCTGTGTGTATATGTGTATGTGTGTGTCTATGTGCATATAAATGCACATACATGTTTGTGTATACATGTAAAATGAAAGTAAGACTCTTAAGTTATTCAACACATATCTGTCTTCTAAGCAATAGTAAATGTACATGTGAATGAATATTCAAATAAGTCAGTATAAGAGCAAAATACTTATTTGTAGATTTATTAATAACAGTGAAGATCTATTTATTATCACCACAAACATTTAATTATGCTCTTATCTTCATCATTTATTGTTATCATCTGCATTAACCACTCTATGAGAGGAGCATAGTGAAATGAATGACTTCCAGAGCTATGAGACAGGGTTTCTCTGTATTGTTTTGGAGGCTGTCCTGAAACTGGCTCCGTAGACCAAGCTGGCCTCGAACTCACAGAAATTTGCCTGCCTCTGCCTCCCGAGTGCTGGGATTAAAGGTGTGCACCACCAACTACCACCCGGCTTTCACATCCCGTCTTTTATCTACCAGGGCTTCTATTTTTCCTAGAAATTCAAGGTCCGGGTGGAAGGCAGGCAAAGGTGACTAATTGGCAGGGATGACCCTAACTGAACTTTCCCATTTGAACAGAATCTGGGGGTTCTTTTCCTGACCTTGCTTCCGCCTCCCCACCCCTGCTGTCTCCAGGTCACCTCCCATTCTGCTTGGTCAGCCCACCTGCTGAGTTTTGGGAGCCCCCCGCCCCCCCCATTGTGAAACAGGGAGTTAAAGAGAGTAGAGAAAGAGCACCGAAATAAGACGGGAAACAATCCACAATGCAGAAATAATAAACCACTCTGAGTGTTGCCGTTGGATCACCCCAGATCTGACGGCTGTACAGAAGAACCTCTTCCACACAAGGACTTCAGAAAGATCTTGCATGTCCGCCATCCCAGCAGACCCATTTGTGGGGCATTAGCTTCTCTGTGGCCTGTGGATACAGGAGTGGGGTGGACAGGTGACCCGTCACAAAACGCTTAGGGAACTACAGACAAAACGCTCCCACTATTGTGGCTTTGCTCTGAGGCATTTGTTGTTACTGAATAACAACAAAGCGATTTACAGGAAAAGGCTGAATAGCTCAGATAACTGATAGCTGAGATGTCTTCTTTCTAAAGAATGTTTCACAGTAAAATTCGGGACCTTTGCTGACCTTTGGAAGGTCTCTTGTAGCCTTGGGATCAATCCGAGCAGAGCAAGCTGTATGTTTGATGTTATTAATGTATCTGTCCTAAAGAGTGAAATTTCATAGCCATGACCCATGAAGGAAGCTGCTTCCCACCCTTCATCACTGACAAAGCAGGAACTGGCTGTGCCTCTTTTATTTAGCCTTTCTGTGTTTTTAAACCCCTTCTACAGAACTACAAGCCAAAGGGTGAATGAACTCTTGTATAATCTGGTTATAGATAATCTGGTTTACTGAATATTTTGAAGGAGAGTTATGTAATGATTCTTTTGCTTCAATTCCAATCTAAAAATAAGTATTACTGGATCTATTCTGTAACTGATATCCAGCTACACACAGACTTTTAAAAAAGCGTATTCGATTTCTACCTTCATTCTTCCTAAACTGATACAGCCATGAAGGTAAATCAAACCAAGACCATGAGATTGCAAAAGAAAAAAATCTACATAAAAATGAGCTAGAAAAACGCATCACAGTATTGTGGTTTCTACAGCATAAATAACTACTAACAAACTTTATACTCTACTACAGACACACTTGCCCATGCGTGCCCACTGTTGTTCTAGTCCCAATAACTAGAGAAGACATCGACTCTATCCAACCCACCAAGAGATGAAGAAAAATATGGCACCTATCCACAATAAAATATCACTAGGTTAAAAAGAAAAATTAAATCGTAAAATTTGCATAAATAGATGGAACTCAAAGCAAATGTACTGAGCAAGGTGGCTTGGACTCAGAAATGTAAGTACTGTTTTCTCTCATGTGTAGATCCTGCCTTCAAATCTTCTTTTTTGTGTGTTTCACTTGGACACAAGGGAAAGCCTTTGGAAGCGTTCTTACAAGACCAGGAGATGGGAGATTATAGGTAAAACTAAAATAGGGAAGTTGAATAACCCTGTGAGTGAATGAACTAAGTGGGGGTGAGGGCAGGGGACAGGGAGAAGAGCAGTGTCCAGTAGGTTAAGCAAAACTAAAGACGTATGAAAAAGCCTATGGAAACCTACTAGTTAGTAAGCTAGTTTCAAAACACAAGTTTGAGAAAAGGAGTTAAAGTGTAATACCCTGACCGGATGGATGGCTAGCAGACTGCATGGATTATTAAATACCAGACTGCATGGATTATTAAATACAAGCTGCAGTGCAAGGCTTGGGATGCCTCCCTACAAGTTACTGGCCCGGGAGCCCCAGAGTTTGGAAAAACAACCCGACTACTGCCATTGCTCCAGGTTACTATCATTTAATTATGCTCTTATCCTCACCACCTGTGAGGATTCACTGGATGGTAAGACGCTACTGATGAAAACCACACACACACACACACACACACACACACACACACACACACACACACACTTTGGCTGTCAGACACAGAGAAACCAAACCGCGACCAAGAAAGTTCCTCGGCTGGCCAGCTCTCATAGCGTTGGAAGATGTTGCACAGGCTGGTGGGAGAGACAACGCGTCGATGGTCTTACCCAGTGCTGGGCTCTGCATGCTGCAGTACCAACCTGCTAGGCAACATGTGCCCAACGACGTGATAGCGGCACAGCTGTCACTGGAGACGCCGTAACTCTCTGACTGGATTTCTGGTCCGTTCCTCAAAGTGAAATTGCTTTTCTGGTAGTGTGATCCTGGCCAAGAGCCCATGGTTAGGAGGCAACTGGCCCTGAATGGAACCATCATCGACTAAATGGACATGCCACTAAAGTGCTTTCTGAGTCCTTGGCATTTGTGTGTTTTTACCCAGACCCTGGCTGCTCTTAATTTTGGCCATAGAAAGATGCATACCTGGTCAAAGTGCTGAGGATATGGGACTGAGTGATCAGCCCTTGAGAGGGGATCTGCATTAACATCCCCCACCCCTACACACACACACACACACACACACACACACACACACACACACACGCACGCACGCACTCAGGGAACGCCTTGGAAGATGAGATACAAAGCATTTAAGAACTGGAAGATGGGGAAGAATGTTGTGAAATGCTGTCTTCTACACCGTGGTGGTTTGAATAAGAACGACCCCTCCCGCCCCCTCTTATATTGGGCTCATATAGTAGGATGCTTAGCCACTAGGGAGTGGTACTATTTGAGAAGGACTAGAAGGATTGGGGGTGTGGCTTTCCTGAAGGAAATGTATCCCGAGAGGTAGGCTTGGAGGTTTCAAAAAGCTCACACCAGACCGGGCATTTCTCTCTACCTGCTGCCTGGAGATTGGGATGTAGAAGTCTCAGCTACTTCTCCAGCCCTATGCTATGCCTACTGCCATACTCCTCTCCATGGTGACTGACAATGGAAGAACCTCTGAAACTGTAAGCCTGACCCCAATTGAGTGTTTTCCTTTGTAGGAGTTGCCTTGGTCACGGTGTCTCTTGACAGGGATAGAACAGTGACTAAGATGTAGTCACAGCATAGCTACTACACTGACAGAAGCTGCAATTGCCACATGACTCTTGCATAAGATCAAGCCAGTCAAAATTCCAGCATAGGCACTGTAGGTGATTAGGTAGTTACTGGTTCTTAATAGACGCTGAAGGAGGGACACTACTTTCTGAGATGCAGCCACTGGTGGGATTCCTATGTTCAAGTGGATGACCCCGTACCCATGCACATACAGACAATATTAACTAGGTTTAGTGGGTAACTGAAAAGAGAGAGAGAGGACTTTTATTGCCTTAAGTGTATATTTTCATAATATATCATTCACAGGAAGCTCAAGTCATACAAAATATTTATACAAAATAATGCCGGAAGAACTCCTACCGTATATATTTGTAAAAGTTATATCTCTATTAAAGCTATTCAATATCTAATGCTCATTCATTTCTTATTATTACCAGCACTAGCACCTTGGAGTCACCAGATAGCATAATTACAGTGAAGACAACTCAGCAAGCACTTACTGGTTTAGCCGGACATCCAGAATGAACGACGTTCCAAAGGCATCCACCTGGAAGCTTGTCTTGTCCACATGGGTCAGCTGCAATATCGAAAAGGGAAAGCATATTTACAGTCAGCTGTGTCAATGATTTATGCATTTTTATTGCCATTCTGAAAGACTCATAGTGTCACAAATGAGAAAGCAATTCAACAAGGAGGATAAGTGACAGCACAGTAAAGCAAAACCGTGTGCCTTCTTGGAAGCCAAGCCGTCACCAGTGCAAAGTTAATTGCCATCCAGTCAAGGAGACAAGGGCCCTGTATTTCTGCTTTGTCTCAAGTCTTGAAACAATGCATACCCAACTTCAGTATACTTGCCCCCTAGTTGTTGTGGGATAATCCTTTTGTACACTGTGAAGATTTGTCACTCAGTTTAATAAAAAGACGACTGGCCAGTAGCTAGACAGGAAGCATAGGATAGGTGGGGCAGCCACACACAGGGAGGGACAGCCACACACAGGGGACTCTGGGAAGAGTGGCAGAGTCATAGGACCAGCCATATGCAGAGGAAGCAAGACGTGTGCAAAATGAGGTAATAAAACATAAGAATTATGGGGTACTTTAAATGTAATTGCTAGTTAGTAATATCCCTGAGCTATTAGCAAAGCATTGATAATTAATATTGAGTCTCAGTCTGGTTATTTGGAAGCGGCTACCTAGACACAGAGAAACACCATCTACTCCTAATCTATGAGCAGCTCTTTTAAAAAGCTAAGCTTCAAAGAGGAAAGTGTACTTCATTCAAGAGTAAAATTATACAGCAAATATTATCTATTTATTAGGAAAACATTTAAACTAAAATAAAAAGTCCTTTTTTATCAATCCTCTAATGTATACTTTAATAGCATGACAGTTCTAATTTGTGAAACCTAATTTCACAGAAGCTGCTACATATTTATAAGAGCAAACTTATGCCTTTGTACTTACCAAGAATATCATCCCTCAAATGTTTCTATGACAAAAATAGTCACTATTTACTATGTCATCCTAGGAACTCTGACAATCACCAGGGGCTCTAAAAGTACCTATTGGTCATGTTAATATATGCATACTGAATGATCATTGTGGTGGTATATTTATTTCTGATTTATTAAAAGCTTGCCTGAGGATTCAGAAAGCAAAGTCAGTCACAAGCCACAGAGGTCAGTAGATGGTGGGTCACACCTTTAATCCTAGGACTCAGGATTAAGAGGTAGACAGATCTGAGTTCTAGGCTTCCCAGGAATGCACGAGATTAAATCAGTCTAAAAGACTAACAGATCACACACCTTTAATTCCAGCACTAGAGAGGTGTAAAAGATAGAAGCAGGGTCTTCAGTATTCAGCAGGAGGAATTCATTCTCCAATCACACTGAAGATAGGGAGGCTCAGTATTGAGGAGGATAGGAAGACATTGAAGTCTCGGGATTCTCCAGCCACGCTGAGGAGAGGCAACAGTCTGAGACTTGGTGAAGAGCTTGTGTGTGGATCAGCCCTTTCAGTCTGAGCTTGAGGTGAGAGCTAGTGGCCGGCCACTTTGCTTGTCTGACTTTCACCTTGAAGTTTTAACACAAATATCTGTGTCTGGGCCATGCACTTTGTGTTACAGATCATGGTCCCAAACTGAAAAGAAACAAAACAGCCTTTCCATTTCACTCCCCAATACCAACAGGGGCTATCTCTAAACAACAGACTATGAATTTCCAGATTTTTACCGTTGTTTTTGTTCTGTTTATATGTTTGTGTGCTCTTGGTTTTTTTCATATATGCCTAGTTTCCTAAAATAGGTATGTATCATTGCAATTACGAGGAGAAACAATGAATCCACCGAAGCCTTGCGTAGTAAATGAGGCTGACAGTGTTGCTGGTCACTGAGAAGTAGCATCGTGGACAGGGGCATCGGAGGGGCCGCAGCCAGCCCTGGACTTCACATCCAGTACCCTCAGGGCTGGGGAAAGACTAGCAGTAACAAAGCTTTCTGGAACAAGATGGTTGGCCTATGGAGCAGTGTTTGAAAGAACGCGCCTGAAGAACCCTGCTCAGCAGCTGCTCTGGTGCTCCTCCCCTAACCTGGAAGACAAGTGCTCAGACACCCTTCAGCCTCTCCACTCAGGCAGACCTAACTCCCCTCACTCTTCCCGGTCAACTCCTACTCCCACCAAGCCCTGGCTTCCCCTTCTTTACCAGGGTCCTTGGCGAGGCATCTTACTCTCAACCCTACCACTGCCACACATCACAATCCCCCGATCTGCCAAAGGTCCTTGCTGAAAACCCAGTGTGAGCCCCCTCCCATCCCGTTTTGAGATGCTCAGCTGCCTCCCCAGTGTCCAGGCATAGTGCCTAGGCCCCTGCGCCCCTCCCTACACCTCACCCATGATGACTTCTTTGTCTACTTTCAAACTCAGAAGAACATTACCTAGAACTCTTACTCACTACTTCCACTGAGAGCTTTTCCCAAGCAGACCCTTGACCTGGGCGGTTTCCCGAAAACAGCCCTATCTGAATTTGCAGACTCAGGTCAGCAGCCTTCCTAGACGCTGCCACAGAGGCCCTAAGAGAAGACCACAGACAGGGTGGTTTAAACAGCAGAGATCTTCGCAGTCACAACTCTAGAGGGCAGATGCTCACGGACAAAGGTTGGCAGATTCAGTTTCTCGAAAGGCCTCCGCAGCCTCACGGTGCCCTCACACAGTCTTTGTAGGCACTCCCGGCCACTTCCCCCTCTGAGGCTATGAGTCATCATGGGCTGGGGACCCAGGCTGACACTCTCATTAACCTTGACCTCCTCTTTTAGAGCCCTGTCTCCGTGTACAATCACACTGCGGGTGATAGCTTCAACACAGGAATTTTCAGGGAACACAACTCAGTCCACCACACTCCTCTCCCATCAAGTCTCCTTCCCCTCCCCGCAGGTCAGTCAGGGGGATATCAGAGAACTGACCACACCAGGAGCTCACTCAGTATTTCCTGAGCGGCTGCTAGAGGCTGCTTTATTAATCACTTAGATGCATAAGTGAACTGTGGTACAACTACAAATTACCTGCTTACGGACACACCGTCTTCCCATTAGGCCCATGCGCTCTTAATGCCAGGTCAATAGATAGTGTTCGCTCTGCCTAAAAGCTCTTGGGGTTTGCTAAAGTTAAGACCTTGTTTTGGGAACAGCAGCAGGAAAGCCCTAGTTACCAAAATTGATGTCTCGATTAAAATGAACCTTTCCCTCCTCCACCCTTCTCAAGCCCTTGTGTGGCTATAACAGCCTGTATCTCAGGCTCCTCTGATTAGAAATGCTAACACCGTACATCTGTGTTCAACAGGCCACATCAGGATGATGGCTCAGACCAAAACAATGCTGCCGTTATCTTTAACAGAGATATTCTAGTTGCTTTCTCCTTTTTAATTAGCATGTGTCTATTGCATGTCTGTATACGATATAATGTAGTATTTCAAAATACTTATAAAATCTTATTGGGGTGACTAGCATTCCACTTCCTTGCCGTTTCTCAACGTGTGCAGCCTCTGATGTCTTCTCTTATAGTTCACTGTTGACTATCATCGCTCTGCAGTGCAATACAATACTGGAGCTATTACTCCAGCAAATACGTTTTGGTACCTGTTACCCAACTTCCCACTACCTTCTTTTCATTCCGCTTCCTAGGCTCTCATAATTACTATTACTCCTCTGTGAGGAGCCGCCCTCGCTATCGCTATTGCCGTTAGAAGATGGCGCTGACATCCACTGTCAGTTGGAGTTAACCGTTTAAACTGTGCCTCTCCCGTGACGTCATCTGGGGTGATGTGCAAACCACCAATCCCGGCTCTACACATCTCACTCGGAGCTCCTAGGCTTATATAAGGGGCTGGGTTTCTTAGCTTGGGGTCTCCCTCTAAGAAGCTGATCATCTATCTCTCAAGATGCATTAAAGCTTTACTGCAGAAGGATCCGAGTGTTCTGCGTCGTTCTTGCTGGCGAGACGGTAGCGCGGGACATCTGGTGCCGAAACCCGGGAACTCTTCAACATCGCCGGCGCCGCGGGAGACCCCTCGGAAGACGGGGCGGATTCAGAACTGCAGGGACGTAGGTTCAGAGAGGTATGCTTTATCCTGAACAACCCTTTTCTCGACTTTGGCCTTAGTTTGTCATCACCGTGGGACGGGTCAGTGGAGGCTTTGGTGCTAGTCCTGTTTGTCCTTCTCCTTCATCGTGGCTGGTGCTGACAGAACGGCGCTGTCCGTCCGGCGCTGTCCGTCTGGCGCTGTCCGTCTGGCGCTGTCCGTCTGGCGCTGTCCATCTGGCGCTGTCCATCTGGCGCTGTCAGTCTGGTGCTGTCAGTCTGGTGCTGTCAGTCTGGTGCTGTCAGTCTGGTAACGGAGTTGAGCGCGTTTTTAGATAAGCTGTCAGCGCGATGGGGTCGTCACAGTCAGTGGTTACAGCCTTACAGACTGTGCTAAAACAAAGAGATCTTAAAATTGCACCACGAACACTTCAAAATTTTGTGAAGGAGGTAGATAGAGTGGCACCATGGTATGCTTGTTCCGGGTCCCTCACTGTGGCCTCATGGAACAAGCTAGGTAAAGAACTAGACAGGAAGCATGCAGAAGGAGATCTCTGCTTAGGTACCAAAGCCATTTGGAAGCTAGTTAAAAACTGCTTGGAGGATGAGGCCTGTCACCCTGCTATAATAGAAAGTCAGGGAACCTTAGAGGAAGTTCAGGATAGCATGTCAGAAACTGAACGGAGTGAGAGAATGGGAGCTCGCAAAAGAAAAGACATGTCTAAGAAAAAAGGCCCTCCCCAGGAAGTTAAGAAAGGGGAGAGAAAGAAGGGAGTTATCATTCACCCCTTAACAAATCTAAGAAAAAGAAAAAGCCAGAATCTAGTCTATACCCTGCAGTAGAGCTAGAAGCCTTGGAGCTAGATAATTCTGATTCTGACACTCTGGATTCTAGCGAAGAAGGTGGTCTAGAGGGGAGGTGGCACGGTATGAGGAAAAAAGATATCACCCTGATAGACACCGGCCACTGAAAACAAAAATGAATGTGAGGCCACCGCCTATAAAT